TATATATATATATATAAAGCACTTTTTCACAGAAAATTTTTGAGTTTTCGAAAAAATTCATTAAAATTCATTTGAAGTACTTTAACTCGCAAATACAATTGTGTTTACAAATTGCTGGAAATGTGTATATCGCGTGAGAGATCTTTCAAAAAATTTACATTTGTGTAATTTTTGAAAAATAAAAAAATACACCAAAATAAACATTACGTCATATTCAAGAGTGCAATTACCACTATTCGTTCGAAATGTTTGAAGAAAAACTTTAGAGCCATTTTTGAGAATTTGGTGAGCATTTCTGAAAATGCGGTGTTTTGAGCTAATTTTTACCGAAAACGGTAGAGTTTTCGAGAAACCTTACATGACATTATTTAAAGCACATGTACTGATAACTACAATAATGTGAACAAATTGCCGATAGTATTAACAACATGAGAGACATGTCAAAAAAATAACATTTTTTGGAATTTTTGAAAAATAAAATAATAGAGCAAGATCGCAGCAATAGAGCTCTCATCTTAAAGAGAGAATTTAGCACTATCCCAACCAAAAGTTTAAAGAAAAATTTGGATCCGTTTTTGACAAAATCTTTCCTTTGTATATTTTTTTAAAAATTGAACACATTGCACGTAATATTGTGCGAAAACTGCTAAACTTTTTAGTATAATGTTCATGACCTTAATGAAAGAACTCACTATTGAGAACAAATTTTTTTTGATGAAAAAATCTCTATTTTTAATTTAATAATTGTGGGAAGACACCGAAAAAACATTATACTTTTGAAATTTTCGAAAATTCAGAGTTAACCATGAAAATCGGACCTATGCCACGTTTACAAGTGTATGTTACTCTATTCTTACAAGAAATTTAAAGAAAAAATGTGGAGCCATTTTTGATAAAATTTTGAAAATATCCGGGCGGCTTTGTATAAAGTACCCCCAAATTTAATGATTTTTTTTCAAAATCCCAAAGATTCAACTCGAGCCAGATCGACACAGGTTTCTTCAATTTGGAAAAAATCCTACGTTTGGTTTTAGCGCTAGTAGTGTTTACAGACACCAGACGGACAGATGGACGAACGGACAGACTGACAGACGGACAAACGGACAGACAGTCAGACAGACAGAAAGACTGACTAACTGACAGACGGACGGACGGATCTTTGGGGGAAAAAAACCTTTTTCGGTATCAGGGGACCCCAAAACGTGCAGTTTTGTCGAAATCTCGTAATCGATTTTCCGCAGCATTACAATGCTTTCTCTATATTAAGGATATTACTCCGTATATACGTACGTATACGGGAAAGTAAAAATCATGTAAAATACCATTTCTTGAAGTAAGTGTTTTCTTAAGCCAACTTAAACTTCAATTCTTTTGGTTCCATTATTCTTAACGATCGACGGCGTGTTAAATGTGTAACGGACTCCGGCCGTTATGTGGCTTTTCGCTCCTCTATTTGGTCGCATTAAGTTAATATAACAAACAGTACAGTATCACGAAATGGAACATTTATTGTTTTCACAATGTATCAGATATTGATCATCGTCAATAAACTTTAAATTTACTTCTTGGCATCAAAATATAAGTATGTCGTGTTTAAAATTGTCTTACTGCGAGTCAGAGAATGAAAACAATGCAGAAGGTTTACATCTTGCGCTCTTAAAGTATTACTTTGGAGCTATTCTCAGAAGTACTGGGATGAAATAAATCAATTCCTCGAAAGTTAATTTAACTTCGGAATATTTAAGAACTTAATTTACCCTAAGTTCATTACAGATAAAGTGCTTCTTCTCAGAATTGCTCACACACAGTTCGCAAGTCTTCTAACAAAAAATATATTTATTCTACTTCAGGAAGAATTCTCCACAATGGTCAGAGATTTTCATTTCCATTACTGTGCAAAGATCTCTATTACGAAAACCAAAATTTCCTGGTTAACTTACAACAATGTAGGTTACTTACATGTATTATGTAACTTACAACAATTAGGACATAAACAACAATGTTGACTTGGATTTTTAAATTGTAATCTGAAAACTGTAACACATAAAAATAGGTGTATCGAATTCGAAAACGAATAATTGGGATATTTACTTTCAAATCGTTCATTGTCAAGGATATTAAAACATTGATTTTATTCGAGTTGATTAAAAAACGTGGACAAAAAAAATCACATTCGTTCAATAAATTACAATTTATTTCTCTTACGAGTCCCGTATGTGTGTGTTGTGTTCCTGCAAACAAGTTTTCTCCAGGCCCTTGTCATATTTTCCGGTTGCTGCTCGAAGTTCTCCCGAAATCCGCGCGCGGACCTGTCAGATGGCGCGTCGCACGGCCCGACGCACGCTCAGCAGCGGCGACGCTGGCGCGCCCCGTCTCCTCGCCGCCTCCTCCCGGCGCGCTCTCCAGAGTATTACGCTCGTAATGAGAAAAGCCCGCGTCAATTTAGATCGCGCGCCGATACGTTTCATAAAGGACTAATAAACCTGATGAATGAAAAAATACAGAGACACACGTTCCAGAATACGAATGGTTGTGTAGCGTAATTAATATACAGCGCACGGCCGTTGTAATAATGTTTATCGGAATGAGTACAAAAAGTTATTATATTTGACCGTACGGCTGGGACTGTTCCGTCGGCACATGGCTAGTTCGGTTTTGTAATAAGCCCATTCCCCCAAAGCAAACCTTTTCATGCTGAATGAGCCAATGATTGCAAGATTTCATTTACTGATAGAACGGTATAGAGAGCTCGTTGGGGGCGCCGATAGAATCGTTCGGGAGAAGGAAATTAAACGGCACAATAATTCAAACCCGAGCGCGCTAATTAACTGACCTGGACCGCCCGCGCCCCACCCGCTCCTCCGTGCGGAGTCCTCCCGCGCCAATGCGGCGCCGCAGCGCCCCTCACGGCCGAACACGGAATCTCCTTGCCCGCACCCTTCCTTTAGCTCTGCCGTCCGTCGCACAAACACCCCAACAAATAATTCAGGCGAAATAAAATGAAATGCTGAGTTAAAAGAAAGAGAATCTCGAAAGTAATTATTTAAAAAATCTCTTTGTTGTCGGTTTGTTGGGTGATGTTTTTAAGACCACTGGATCAATCGATGTCATGTGCATGACATTCGTGCAAAGATGCCCTGTCGAGAATTCTTGTGGTCGGCTGATATGATTGGTAGTTGTCCGTGGCATCTCCGATTACTACCAGGCGAAAGCCTGCCCAATACACAGAGACGTGTCTATGGTATGGCAGATATAGCACGAGCCATGGGCACCACTCGCAGGGGCGCTATTTAGAGTATACCCGCTAAAAACAAAACCCAATTTGAAGTATCCTGACAGGGGCGCAAATTCTATACTTTCCATGGGTGCCTAAATACCTAGATTCCCTACGTAACATACGGATTGCGCATGAACTTTCTTTCTTCAACCTTCTCCCTTCCTCTCCTCTTATACACACTGACAGTCCTCCGTGCACTACACAATACACATGACCGGTGTCCTGCTGGCGAAGATTTGTGGAGGGGTCCGATGGTCGGCGCCAGATCCCACGTTCCAGCAGGGTATCAACAACTTCGGAAAACACGCACGACACCTATGGGACGTAAGACTTTAGCGCATGGGGCGCACAGAAACACCCATCTATTACATGCACAGAAGGTTATAATTTTTAAAAATCATTCGATTCATTTTCCCCCACATGCCAAAAGGTAAAGAAAGTACAGAGAACTGAATTACAACCTTAACTATCAAGCAACACTGTTTGGAAAGGGAGTTTTGAATAATATAAATAGTGTCTTTGCAAATTGATAGCTTAAAACATAGAAATGATTTGAGGTTTGTGATATAATTTATAAATAAATCGTTTTCCGTTTGTTATAGGTTGTTTGGGACCACAGGGTATTGTGCTGCCTGCAACAAAGTAATCCCTGCTTTTGAAATGGTAATGCGAGCAAAAAGCAATGTGTATCATCTCGAATGTTTTGCCTGCCAACAATGTAATCACAGGTAAGAAATTCAAAAGTTATTCAATTAGAGAACAAAGAACAAAATTAAAAAAGACTAACATTAATAAAATTTATTCTTTTATAAAGATAAATGGCTGATAATTGCTAAAAATGTAACATTATTCTTAAGCTTATAAAATTACAGCAGATACATACATTGTTTACAGGTTTTGTGTTGGTGACCGTTTCTACCTATGTGACAACAAAATCCTGTGCGAGTACGACTATGAGGAGCGCCTGGTTTTTGCCAACATGGTGTACAACCCCAGCAGCCTCGCGCACATACGAAGGCAAGTCAGTAATTTGCAGGTATGCCCTAGACCTAAAGCAAAAAAATACAGCCTCAGGAGTCCAAGTCCTTCTTCCATATTTGAATGCACAAAATCAAAATTTTTGTCTTGAAAATCAAAAGATGTATAAAAATTAGTGCACAGTATATGACAACTTAGCAGTCTGTTTCAATATCAAATGTACACAATTTTTAAAAAATTAAAAAAGGACTTCTGGCTGTGTATAGTCTGTCAGGCCTGTTTCTATCCAAATATATAAGTTGCAATATGTGAGAAATTATACATTCTGGTATATACCCTTTTTTAACCTTTTTTTAAAAAAGGAAATAAATGGGTATAATACTCATATAATGTAATTTAAGAATATGACTGTGCTGACAGGTTTCTCTAATCAGGCTCTTTCACGTCAGTACAGGGTTAGGCATATGTCATTAGCACTCACTAACTAATTGTATCGCTTTTTTCAGCCAGCAGGAGACAATTTAAACATGAGTTATGAGAATCAGCATTCTCCCCAGCCGCCACCGCCACCACTACCACCGCTACAACCAGTACAGCCAACTCCTCCACCCCCACCACTTCCGTCAGCAGCAGCAGCAGCGGCTGTGGTAGCAGCAACAGCGGGGCCTGTTGCAATTGCTCCACCGCCCCCCAACCATCCACCCCTCTACAGCGAAAAGACAACTTTGGCACCCCCAAGTACCAATCAACACTTGAGGGATGATGGCTCAAGTGGATATGGCAGTCCAGATTCTGAGACATTCGATGCACCCTGCAACTGATAAAAATGATATAGTGTTTCACACTATCATTGTGGAGGGGTTAAAAGGACAAGAAATCTACAGCTAAGCAATTTTTCTCCATCAGAGTGTTGTTATATCCTGAATATTTATATATATATATCCTGAATAATGTTGTCTACATTTACCTTGAACTTGGTTACAAATCATCACATGATAATGCATGTTATAAATCTGTACATAAAACTTACTGTTTTTATTATATATATCGCTATATATATATGTATATATATATATATATATATATATATATA